CTCTTGTGAATCCCACATCTAGTTAAGGATTGCCAGGATCTCAGTGACACTCGGGAACATTAAAGTGTTCACAGGTTCTCCAAAGAGCAGTGGTTTTGCCAGCGTGACTGAAGAAGGGTGGGAGGGAGATAATAGCCTGAGGACGGTAGCCGAGGACTCACCTGGCTGGGTTGTGGACTGAGGCCAAGCAGCCGAGAGAAAGAAACAAGAGTCAGTCACACAGCACACAGGTGCCCCAACGGGACCAAGGGTTGAAGAAACTCGGTGTATACCCCCTGAGATCCTGTTTCTACATGCCGTCAGGTGGACTGAGCCAGCCCCCACCCCCGAATCCCTCAATCCTCTGGGAGCTGAGGGAGGAGATCAGTTTCTCTTCCAACATTCTGAAATTTTACAACTGTCTTGATGGCCACTGGACCTCATATATAGCAAAGACCTTAGAATACTTAACATCAGAAGAGTTAGCATTCAGTAAGCACGTCCTATGTACCAGGCACTATGTTAACTTTAGTCCAGTAAATTTATTGCTTTCCTCTGGGAAAAGTTGGGGAGGGATGCAGAGACTCAAAAACTATTCCGCATCAGAGGGTCATTCGTAAGAATGAGGAAATGTGAACAACGCAAGTGTCCAGCAACTCAGGACTAGTTCACTATTGCATGGTCATAGCTGTGTAATGAAATACAAGGCAGGCATTTAAACGGCTGGGGAGAAAATATTCAATGACAGAAACAAGTGGCCATATCATTTCTTAAGAGCGAGGAAAAGCTATCGAGCAACAGCCACGGGGTAAAGTTGACTGGGAAAGGATGGATTATTTGCGAAAATACCCATTCATTGTCTCCCTTCCTTCTCTCAAAGCTTCTGAGGTACCCCAAGAAATCCAGCCTTTAAGTTTCTTCTTTGAAGAACAACTTATTTCACTTCCTTAGAAGAAGGGGAAGTAGGTCTCCTTATTAAAACGAAAGTCATCCACCCGGCAGGGGGATAAAAAGGCTGAGTGTCTGCAAGGTAGAGGCTGGCTGTGTGTGGGCAGCTTGGGAGCCGTATACAGCGGGAGATTGTATTGACAGGCTGACCTGGGCTGTGCATTGACAGACACCGGCTGCTTCCACAGTCAGCCTGGGGATGAGAAGCCCAAGCCCTCAGGTGGACAAACGTGAGACTTACCAGCAGTGCTTGCGGGTGATGAGTGCCACCAATCTGGAAGGAAAATGAAGTGATTTTAGGATTTTATTGGGAAAGTTTTCATTCCATGGTCATTAGCTTGTAAGGAAACGTAACTACACACAAGTCTCTCCCTGACTGCAGCACTTCTCAGAACCTGGACAATTCCAGTGTGCACTGCGAATGGCCCAGATGGGCGAGAGTATGCAGTTACACTGCGCAACAGGCTTGGCACTGAAAGTTTTCACTGTGGGGCAAAGGAAACCTTGGGGATCGCTCTCCCAACGGGATAGGATTCTTGAACGCACAAGCCGTGGTAGGAGTTTTCCTTGGTCGTATTTCTCCAATGATCCCAATGCTGACTTGAGCAGTTGCTCTCCTCCGAAATGAACAGAGGAGACCAAAAATCCTTCCGCTGCTGCTTCTCTGGGCAAACCTGGCAGCAGACAGTGGCAGAGGATCCCGGTGGGCCCTGAGGCTAAGCTAACTTGGAGCCCAAGTCCTGGGGACTCAGCTGGTCACTGTAACAAATACCAGAATCCTTGAAGAGAAGGGCCAGACCTCTTCTTTAGTTTCTAGAAACATGAGAGTTGAATTCCAGAGAGGAAACATGCTGGGCTGGGATATAGCTACTCACCTGGGGTGGTAGTAGTGCTTTGTACTCCTGCAAAAAGAGAGGACACGTTGTCAGTCTCTGGGAAGACGGTGCAGAAAGAAGCCTTATGGGATCCAGAGAACCAGAAATGCTGAGTGCCTGACCCCCTGTCCCTAAGAAGACTTCCAGAGAGGGGTCCCGTGGTAGCCTCACGGAGGATTCCACCAAAAAAAAAAAAAAAAAAAAGTACTGCAGGAATTTGTTCTCACAACTTTTATGCCCACTATCACACGGCTGTTCGACGGGCTGATAAAGATGCTGTGTCCTCGCGTGAAACTCAGCCACATCAATATGGTTGGTGATTGGTGAGGCACGTTCCTCTCAAGCTAACAGGGGAAATGGCCGCCCTTCAGCAAACTCAGGAAGATGAAGCGACAGTGAGAGAAAAGAGCTCTTCTAGAGAATTAACAAGCCAAAGCAGAGGCTCAAAATCTTGAGGACCCACCTGAGCAGACGACACCAGCATCTTCTCCGTGGCCACAGTTGTGCGAGTTCCAGCCGTTGTGAGGGCAGC